ATGAAAACGTACACAGGGGAGGCCAAAAAAAAGACATTTTGACTATGTCGCACTTCAGCGCTTTTTTTTTCGTCGCAGAGATTGTCGTCGTTGACGGAAGTTCTTCAGCAAAATATTCCTCAAATGTCCCTCTATTAGTAGACGCAGGCCCTCCTTCACTGCCCTCACCGTCTTCAGAATATGATGACGTCATCGTCGTCGAGCTCAGGAGGCCTACAGTAACTGCTTCAGCCTGAAGCTCTTACATAATTTCTTGGATCGATTCAATCGTGGATAGTTTCCTAGAAACATTAGCTCCGAACTATGCAAACCCCCTCGGAACCAGCTTCTTAGAAAACGTCGAGACACAATGTCTATTTTTCATTGCTCCCTCCCCCTGTATATTTACTAGCAAAGCCACAAACGCGGAGCTATCTTCCCGTGCTGACATCAAAAGATTCCTGAGTGACACAGATGCAGATTTCTCAATTCCAAACATTTTAACATTTTAATCTTCGTTAGTAAGCATGATCGCTCTACTCGTGTTCGGTCCTTCAGCATAGAAGCTAATCAGAGTCAATGTTTGAAATTAGCACTTCAAATATACGTACCTTTGTGGCCCCTTGGAATTTCCTGACTTGAATCAGTGGGTCTCGATCGATTCCAAAACGAACGAATACTTCCCTGCAATGAACGTAAGTTGTAATAACAAGAGTACCAGCCAAACATCAGCAATCTTGCTACAAACTCCTTTCTTCCCAGCACGATGAACAATTGTACTAAATGATTCCTATGAATTGATTTCTCAAAACGAAGCGTACATTGTGGCATCAGGATTGAGCATGTACAGTGTAGGCGCCGGCCTGCCATGCTCATCCGTGGCATTCATGTTCGCGTGCAAGAGCTGATAAAACCACATCACCTTTCCCAGCGTCGAAATAGATGTGACCGAGAAAGTGCAAGCCTGAAAAAGAATGGTGATGACATTGGATATGGAACTACAGCTTTTGCTACTATCGAGCGATCGCCAGGTCTCAAACCTTCCCAACAGGAAAGCGCTCATCTTGATGCTGTCCAGAAACAATTCTTCAAATGAGTAATGAAGTCAAGGAAACTGAGATGACCAATAATTCATGGCAGAGAAATGAATTAGGGCGGAAGTGGTGTAGTGGCAAGTGGCACGCTTACCACGCGAGCGGTCCGGGGATCAAATCCTGGAGTCGCCCGGGCCAACCAAGCCTTCCATCCCTCCGGGGTCGGTTAATTGGTACCAGACTTGTCTGGGAGGATAAAAACACTGACTTGTACATCGGCTGGCCCCCGCAAGTCATTGTATAGGCCACATCGCATTCAAACGCCACTACGAATGTACAAATGGAAGTAGAATGCGTGCCGCATCCCAAAAAGGGATTGATCAACGGCAAATGCTTTATCCTTTTTATCCTTTAGAAAAATGAATTAGTTTTTCTTTTCAACAAGGCGTCGTGTGTCTTTTGTAAATTTTAGCTGAAAATTGAATAGGGAAGCGATAACATTATTATTATTTATATCATTGTTATTTATCA